ATATAAAGTGGTTGTAAGATTTGGGAACTACGAAGAAAAAAGCTTCTCTGTCTGCGACTTCCCTTCCCTTGATCGCGCGGAGGAGCTAGAGTTAAGCACGTGCAGGAACGACGTCGTTTGACCCGAAATAAAATAAAACTAAACAAAATAAAAAATCTTAGTAGACTGGGCATGGTTGACCCAATAAAACATTGTACGGTCGGCGAGTTTAGCAAATTTGGGAAGGGCTTTATGTAATTCCGTTTAATTACTCTCTTTAGCCTATTTTTTCTATATACTTACTTTGGTTTTATTTGTAAATACATATTATTGTTTATTATCCATCTATTTCTATCTATTTACCGTTAAAATAATGGATATATTTATATCTAAAAAATTAAATAAAATTTTTAATGTAATTTAAGTTAAATATAAATTTTGAAGATAGCAAATTAGATTAAAAAAATTATTTTAACTAATAAAACAAATTAAGTTTTATTTTCACTCAATTTTTTGTTTCAAGACCCAATAATTTATAATAAAAAAAAGTTCTACACGGTCTTTCTTATGCATTAGAACTATATTGATTAAATATTAAAATAGTTAACCAAATTATAATAACTATTTGTAGCAAGTTAGTCCATTATGATTTTAACCTTATTAGTTTATACTCAACTATTTTTATGTGTAGATATATTTGGATCATATATTTAGTAACATTTTTGCTATTATAAAGCATGTCTTCATAAGTTAATTTCTATGCGATCTCATATTTATTAAAGATGTTTTCAAAAATTTTCTCTTTATAGGTAATTTATGTAACACTCAAAATTCTTCTTTTATTTTATTTTTATTTTATTAGAATTATGTCTAATTTTATTTTATTTTAAAAATTAATTTATAAGATTTTAATTTAATTTAATAGAAATAAAAATAATAATAATAATAATAAAATGAGGTAAAATTATTTTTAGGATTTAATTGAAATTAATTTTGAGAAAAATCGATGAAAATTTGGATTCTGGGAGTGTTTTTGAAAAGAAAATCGAAAATCGGAGGTCAAAACGCAATTTAAAAAATAGCGCCACGTCAGCAGCCCCGGCCAACCAGGACACGCCGCGCGGCAAGGACACTAACGCGGGAAGCCACGTGGGACGGGGACGCGTGAGCGATTCGCGTGCGCGTGATCGGACGGCCCAGATCCATTCCCGCGCGCACAAACGGCCCAGATCAAAAGCGCACATGGACGGCCCAGATCTCACGCGTGCGGACGGTCCAGATTAAATCATGATGAACGACCAGGAAATATCATTTATAAAGGTAGTGTGGCAGAACCACTCGCCAAAGGAGGCTACCTAGAGCTAGAATCAGACTTTAGAACCCAGTATCTCCATTTGTTCAACCAAGAATAAGAGGCAAATTTGAGGGACCAAATTTCTTTAAAGGATGAGAGTTGTAACACCCAAAATTCTTCTTTTATTTTATTTTAATTTTATTAAAATTTTATCTAATTTTGTTTTATTTTAAAAATTAATTTATAAGGTTTTAATTTAATTTAATAGAAATAAAAATAATAATAATAATAAAATGGGGTAAAATTATTTTCGTGATTTAATTGAAATTGATTTTGGAAAAAAGGGGTGAAAATTTAGATTCTGGGGTGTTTTTGAAAAGAAAATTGAAAACTAGAGGTCAAAATATAATTTAAAAAAATAGTGTCACGTCAGCAGCCGCGTCAGCAGCCCCGGCCAACTAGGACAGGTCGTGTGGCAGGAATGCTGACACGGGAAACCACGCGGGATGGGGACACGTGGGTGATCCGCTTGCGCGCGATCAGACGGCCCAGATCCGTTCCTACGCGCACGGAAGACACAGATCAAAAGCGCGCATGGATGGCTCAGATCTCACGCATGCGGACTGTCTAGATTTGATCACACACGGATGGCCCAGATCGCATCGCGATGGACGGTCCATATTTATTTCTAATTTAATCGCGATCGGACTACCCAGATTAAATCATAATGGACGACTCAGATTAAAAGGGGGAAGGTTATAAATAATCGCATCCACACCCAATCCCAAACCCTAGCCGCCAGAGTCTTCGCCGGAGAAGACAACCCAGCCACCGGAGGAACCGGCCGCCGCCACCCGCCGCCGCATTGGAGGATTGTTTGGCCGTCAAACAAGGTAAAATTTCTCCCCTTGGCTCTTTTTTGATGCTGAACCTCCCTGTGGCCAAATCGGAGCCAAACCACCGGCTGATTGGTCGAAAAATATCGCCGAAGTCCAACGGTGCTGCTGCAGGTTTTCTATATTTTTACCTACGATGAGGCCCTTCCCGGTTGCCGTTCAATGTAATTTTTATACCACTGTGACCACCGTCTTTTTCTCTACAGATTGACTGGAGCAAAACACCAAATCGCAACTCGCGCCGGAGGAGCCGCTGTACCCGAGAGCTTTACCGCCGGTAAGTCTCGATTTTCTAGAATTTTTTAGCCCACCGAGGGCCCTAGGGGTGTTTTATCACATGAACCAATGCAAGTTTGGCCGAATTCAGTCGAAAACGACCAACCCGAAGCGAATTGCCACTGCAAGCGGCTGCGCCGTCACCGGAGCACGGCGGAGCTGCCGTGCCGGAATTCTGAAATTGGTCGAAAAGGCTCTGGGTTTGATTTGAAGTTTTTTGGGGACATGTACAGGTACCGGAAGTGTGTTTTATTTTTTAAAGAAAAATTCAGGGAATCTAGGGACTGCCCGTAGGCGCAATGAGAACCCAATTTCAGACTCCGAAACAAGTAAGGATCCTTCACTCTATTTCATATCACGGTATTAAAGCTTAATAAATGATAAAGCGGTATTTTATGAATTAATAGATATGTATAATTAATTAAGATTGCTAATGGAGTCCGAATCTGATGTATTTTTCGGTCAGGTATTGTTTGATTTATTTTACAGTTTTGAATGCAGTATGGTGCTTGATGTGTTTATTCTATGGTTTCGTATGCATGAATCACGTTTCATTTATTATGGTTTAAATTATTGTGAATCCGATGTTGTGTTGCTTTATTTAGTGTCTATTACTAGTTTACTTGTTTATGTTTGATTGGATAATTGAGATTAAGAAAAATAGAAAATATATGTGAATTGATAAATTGATAATGTCGACAGCCTAACTAGATATTCTGGGAGATGATAGACAGACCGGTTCCATAGGGAACCCTACTGGGAATGTGGTCTCTCATATCGGACGGGGTATGGAGACCTTATGTGTTTTGGCGCCCATACTAGACGAGGTATGGGGACGACCCGTTTCACCCTCATACCGGACGGGATATTGAGGTTTATGATTTTGGCGCCCATACCAAACGGGGTATGGGGACGACTCTGAAATTAAGTTATTAATGTGAATGGTTCACGTGTAGCGGGGACCCCCTATGGATCCCCATGGATACTAATAGGCTGATAAAAGAGAAAATTTGTTGTCTAATGATTGAAATACAAAAGTATGATATGTGTTATGTTACAGAGTGTGCATGATCTTATGATGTTTATGATGTTATGGTTTCTCAAAAGTTTTTTTCATGAATCTCACCGAGATAAGTGGATAGTAAATGTTTTTATTATTGATAAATGAGTTTGTTATAAATTATGCTCCATTGGTCGTTTTGTTTTCTACCAACCTTTACATCTGTGATAGTGAGATAATATAATATTTTTACTAGGCTAGTGTAGTTCACTCCTTACTTAACCATTTCAAATAAGGAGGACTTGGTTTCCGAGCCCGTTCTGCAGGAAGACGGCGAGTAGAAGCCTAATAATTTATTAGTTTTCCTTATAGTATTCATTCATATTATTTCTTTTAGTTAGTTTATTTTTTCATACGTTTAATTCATTCTGGTTATTGTGTAAGAGATGTTAATCATAATCTATTTTATTTCACTTCCGCACTTAGAATTAATTTATACATTTCCTTTTAATTTCCGGAGTCGTTACAATTTATGCCTATCCTTTTATAATTTTCTCTTTTTCATTTAAATTAAATAATTCGTTTGTTAATAAAAGTATTTAACTTAGTCGCCATATTAATATCATTTAAAGATGACAGTTCGATTTGGAGTTACATTCCTCATTAATCTTAAAATGAAAAAAATAATAATAATTTCATTTGTTTATGTTCAGTAAAAAAAATATCAAGTAAAATAATCAATACTGTTAACAGTTTTAATCTAAAAAAATAAAAATAATAAATAAAATAGATCTTATATATTAAAATAAGTTAAACAATGTACATAAATTTTCGAAACAATAAATATTAAAGATTAGTAGTGACATGGCTTTAATGGTCAGTTAGAGGGCTTCGAATCAATAACATTTTTTCCTATCAAATAAGTATTGGTTTTTATTCTTTAATGGTAGTACTTTTCTGTATCGTGACTTACCACATGATAAAAGGAACAATAAAACATTGTGATCAAAATCCTTTAATAAGTGATTTGATAATTGATATGGGAGTGGCATGGCTATTTAAGTATTTTTACAATGAGCTTAGTAAAAGGCCTTATACAAGGGTTATTCAACTTTTGAGTACTTTTTGTAGGCTTTTATTACATGCATGTTAGGATTATTGGAAATATCAATACAATGAAGGGCTTTTTAGAATTTTTGAGTATATCACCTTATTTTTTAAAATTATACACAATTATTTCATAAAATTAGTTGTTTATTGTTTAATATTAAAAAAAGAACTTTTGTTAGTCGTCATTGTACATATTTTGTCTCTTGAAAATTTGTATTTAGTAAAAATTATGTACAATTCCTTAATGGGTAATGAATAGGAATTCAAAAAAAGTTTCTTCAATATATAATGAATATTTAAGCAATTGATTATAGCAAACTATTTCTCATAGATAAAATTTGTACTTTTTTTTGGAATATTATATGATTTAGATAGTGATCAAACTATGATAAGAAAATGCTCA